TCAAACCTGTGCTGTTGAGAATCTCAGTTCGAAAGCAACAAATCAGATCTAAAGGGGAAAGACAGTAGATGTCACATGATGTCTAGCAGAGTGTGTGACTGTATTTGGTAATAACCTCTCACTGCCTAGCATGTGACTCATCAAACCAAACATGGCTGTATGGTGTCTCAAGGGCGGGGACAGGCATTCAAATGAGCCTTAACAAAAACTCAAAGCATTTCCTTCCCTGTCCTCACAAATGAGGCAATAACAGCATGATGAGGGGGAATACCAGCAGCATGGGCCCATGTCTGACCTCAGCCCCTGGGAGTGGTGTGTGGTTGAACCTGTTTAACCTGCCAGACCCGTGGAACCTGAACTGCAGAGATGTGTCTTAGATAGAAATAAATTACATTTATTTTGATGCAGTTGAACCTGTGTAAGTGTTGATGGCTGCATGTTGTGTAAAAGCAGAACAGGTGCTGAGTCACTCTGTTGTTTACCAAAAATTTTAATCTAAAATTCAAATACTGAATATTAAAGGTTTTATAGAACATTCAAGTCAAACATAACACGAGGAGAATTTATGAGGTGAGCAATGCCATTAATCACTCCAGCAGCATCTCTCCACATCTAGAGTTCAAGCTTTGGCCTTCCATCGCCACAACAACATACAAAAACTGTCAAATCAACAGCAGCGAACACAGTCAAAGCCATAGATGATAAAATAAATAATTTAAAAACAAACTCATCAATTGGAACTAAAGAGCCTGGATTTGAAGGAATCAAAGGAGGGAGCAGATCTGATCGAGAGGGGCTGCTGCTATAATGAAACAGTCAAGGGGCTGCAACAGGAAAGGTGCCTTCACCCCCGATCTCAGAACTGAGTATCGAGTAAGACGCCCTGGAGGTGGAGTAAGGGGCTGAAAGGTCAGAGATATAGGAAGGGGGCTGTCCATTTAAGACTTTGAAAACAAACATAGGAGCTTGAAATCCAGTGGAGAGAGGCCACAATAGGGCTGATGTGGTGTCTCTTCTTAGTACATGTCAGGAGTCAGCTGCATTCTGCACCACTTGCAGATGGGAGGGGGACGACCCTGTGCACAGGGAGTTGCATTAATCTAAGTGGGAGGAAATGAAAGCATGCGTGACTTTCTCAAGGTATTTGAATGAGAGAAAAGACTTGATTTTGGCAAAAATGCAAAGCTGGAAAAAACTAGCTTTTACAACTGCATTGACCTGCCTCTCAAACTTTAGGGTGGAGTCAAAAAAAAACACACCAAGGTTTTTAACATAAGGTTTAACAGGGGTGGACAGGTTGTTGGTAATTGAATTGATAAACTCATCAGGGAAAAATACTGCCCAACTTCAGTCTTTCTGTCATTCAGCTGCAGGAAAGTTTAACCCGTCCAAAGACTACATAGACTGCACCTGCCGTTTGGTTTCAGGGGGAGATACAGCTGTGAGTCATCTGCACAGCAGTGGAATGAAATGTACTATTGAGTGATTTGACCATTGTAAACAGGGAACACACAGATCACAATATGGACTTGAAATTTAATGGCTATTGATTCTTAAGATAGATTCTGTGGCAAAATTTGAAGTGAATTAATTTGTTTATTTTGATTTTTGGATGAGTTACAGATATTTTCTCCCAGACTGATTCACCAGATCTAATTTCTACTACTTTTTAAAACATTTAGTTGAGTATAGTTTGTTTTATGAAGCAAATAATACATACTGCATATGAATGATAGTAAAAGGATAAAGAGGGACTTCATGCTTCTGCCATGATTGTCGATATTTGAACAACTATTTGTCACACTCTTAAGTAGGAGTCCAACACTGAGTCTATCTAATGAAAGTAAACCACAAAAGATCACGCTGTGCATGCAGTCTTCTCTGCATTATGAATCTACCAAATGATTAATATCCTAAACTGATATTTTTATTCTCTGACTCTTTAGGTTGCTGCTGCAGAAACAAGTGACACTTAAGATAGGATTGGATCCATGGTCAGTTCAACGCAGAGAGGGATTGAGAACAGGGAGGATAAAAAAAGAATGAGAAACAGGATGAGTGGAAAATTATAGCCATAACTCCACATGTAGTGAGACGTATACTTTAGAGTGGTGTGGTACTTGTAGCTGACTGAGGACTGCAGAGCATCAAAACAAGCGGAGCTCTGAATGAAAGTGCCACTGCTCTTTTCCTGGGATTAGGAAAGGAGATTAATTATGGAACGTCCCTTTAAGCTCATTCTGCCCCTTTAATTAAACCTAAACCCTTATCTGCTCACACATACATTCACTCCACTCTACATGCACTCAAGACTATATGCTGACTCCACTACACTTTATCTGCATCGCCTCTTCACTCTTTCTCCTCTCATTTTCTCTCCTTCTCTTTCTCTATTGTTCTCTCTAGTTATACACACACACACACACACACACACACACACACACACACACACACATACACACTCTCTCAGTGCCCCTGTTGTGTGGACACTGTGTTTCGGCCTCCACTTAGCAGCAAACACCAAGTGCCTGTTGTTGCAGCCAATCCGATCCCTGATTTTGCTCTGAGGGCTGAATGATTGGCTCATTCTGCAGAGGAGTTTAACTGAGGATATCTAAGTCCTGATGCTGTCTGTTGACTCAGTAACAGACGTTTGTGTGTGTGTGTGTGTGTGTGTGTGTGTGGGCTTGCTCGAAGGTCCTTCATTTTTCCATATAAACAGGTGAATTCTTGCTGATTATTTTCTAGATTTATTGATTAAATGTTTTGTCTCATACAGTATGTGTCAGAAAATGAAAAAAAACTGGCTGTTATAATATTCCACAGCACATTGTAGCATCCTTAAATAGTTTGTTTGTTTGTTTTATTCAACCAATAGTGAAAAGCCCAGGATATTTATCCTACCATTATTTATGGCAAAGAAAATCAAATCATCAAACACTCACATATTAGAAATTGAAAGTAATGAATATTTGAAAAAAATCACTAATATAATCAACAGGCTAATTGATTAATTAGTAATTGTTTCATCTCTAAACAAAACAATAAGTGAAAAATCTATCATTGAGTCTGGGAGGAGTCTGAGTTTCTGTTTATTCATGACAGTGAAAGACGAGGGTGTTAGCTCACAAGTGCTAAACTCTGGAACTGTGGACATCAGGGGATATTTTATTTTATTTTATTTTTTGTGGTCAAAAGCAAAAATCTTGATGCATCTTGTACTTCTACTCTGCTGCATTTCATAGGGAAATACTGTACATTTAACTCCATTTATTTGACAGCTTTAGTTACTAGTTACTTTGCTTATTATGATTTTAGATAGAAATGATTAGTTAATTTTATGAGGTATGACGCACTGATACAGATTAAGCAACCCAGCGGTATATAGTTAGAATTAGCAACACTATGAACATTAATTCATCAGTAATAACAATACAGTTAAATAATTTGTTATAACAAATTATAATAATATGGTATAACATATTTAGTACAGTACACTCATACTCACTTAGAACACTTAGTTTTGATACGTTACAATTTGCTGATAACCTTTAATAATATTTTCACTACAGGACTGTTAGCTGTAATGAAGTAAAGCCTCTTCTCTTCTTTGAGTCAAGGATCTGAATGTTTCTCCCACTACTGGTTATCAGACAGTGATGTCGATTCAGTGGTAGATAAGACAGATCAAAGGAAATGAGGGGAGGCAGAGAGATGGGCAATGTAATGTATGTAATATACACAACTGGATGTGTTCATGTTCAGCACCTTCTCCCCTCAGCCACCAGGGACCCCCCTGACATCCAGGTTTATATCACACGAATCGTCAGTTCCTGGGTATCAGGGGATGTTTTCCCAGTAAAGACACTGAGCGAAGTAAACGCTGTTATGAACAATACTGACAGGCGAAGCGGGTTTGTGTTATAGTGGCCAGCAACGGCAGCAAAACTGATTTTTTTTTTTTTTATATGAAAATAACACAAATCATCACTCAGGAGTCAGTCAGATGGTGTAGTGTACACAACCGGAGAATAAATGATATAAAAATAACTGTGATAGGGAAACTCAGGACTCTGGTCCCCTGACACAGCCCTGCTGTATTACACTCATGGGAATGACATTATGTGTGTCAAATTTGCTCTTAATGTGGTTTGACCCTCACGCCCTGATGTGAAGAGCATGAATAAATGATATACTAACACTGTGTCCTCGATGCCATACCAGGGTTATTCAAGGCCTCTTTAAAAGCATCAAAACATGTACTGGTGTCCGTATTTTGATGCTCGTCTTGAACCAGATTTGTCATGTTGACCATCGTTGTAAACACTCGCGGCGCATCTGTGTGCGAGTGTGTGTGAGCAGTGAGGGTCCTGACCTTCTGTCTGCTAATCCCTGGTGCTCTCCAGATGTGACAGAGACCACAGCGCTGTCTGTCTGTGCACTGTCACACATGGCCAGGGGGGCTGCTGCCCTGCCCCCAGAGCCGCCAACATCTGTAAACAGCTGCTAAACCACATTTCAATAACCTGCCGCTGTCTCCGTCTGTCCCACCAGAGCAGCATCGTTCCAAAATGAGATCCGAACATGGGATGAGATTTTCATAAGCTTAGAACTGGGTTGGCACAGAGGCGGAGTGACTAATTCATTGTTACCTTTCAAATTCTTTGTTTAAGCAACAGTTCACCCCTAATGTAAAATGAACGGTGGGATTAGATGGCAAAACACCTGAAGCTTCTCTTTTAAAAACAAAATGTGGTATTTAAATTACAAAGTTATACTGAAGGTTATGTATAGATTATATAACAGGATTATATGGTAACAGACAAAAAGAGAAATAAATTCTAAAAACTAAAATTTTATATTAGTTCTTGCAATATGTAAAGCATTTAGTTTTACATTCTACATGTACTGCATCTAATGTTAGACATGAAACAGTGAACAAGTGAATATAGTTCTCCTTATTTTTATTGTATAAAAAAGAAAAAAGTACAAAATTCATGTAGAAAGTTTACAATAGAAAAAAGTTGAAAAACAGCAAATACACACTGCATGTGACTGACACCGAGCGTCCCTGGTGGGAGGGAGGCGGGCCCCTGAACCAGGAAGTGCGCTCTGATGAGAAAAAGCAACCGCGGGAGAAGAGCAACTGCAAAGTGCTGACAGCGCCGGGCTGACCATCACCTGCAGGGTGAATGATTTCAGTACTGACAGGTGGACATGTGGAGTATCGAATGGGTTATTTTATCAGACATTACTATGCGATGACAGCGAATATGGCTAAAAACACAGCTAGCAAACTGATCTACAAATATGAATACACAAGCAGTAAACAAGTGTCTACTGTGCTAGCATTGCCACTTAGCCACATGTTAGCTGAACATCTGCAGGCTGTGGTATCATCATGACTTTATACATGAAGGCTTTCGAAATGGCCCTGTGCTAAAAACATTTAAAAAAAAAAAAAAAAAAAACATTGCAGCTGAGGCCAAGTGAGAGTGGTATGATGAATACGGCAAAACAAAACCTGACGAAACACGTTTGCCGAAGCCAAAAAGCCAAAGTTTTTGAGGTGTTTTAAGTGTAAAAGGTCAAATACTCCATTAAGTGGGCACTTCAATCCAAAGTACGTTACAGTACCTACATGCATATTTTTTAGCATGTGTAGCACCAGTCGCACTACCACTGTCCACATTAGAAATACCGGGTTTAATCTTGAGTGAAATGGGTTTTAAGTTCAGTCAGTTTAAGCTGTTAAACAAAAACTTTCAGTATTGCTAACAGTGTGTGAGGCCTGATTCCTTCTTTGTGCTTTAAAGAGTATACAGGGAGAGATTTGGTACTTTTCTATCTCATCTGATAAATGTTTAAAGCCAATACATCACTTTCAGTTTCTGGAAAGGGTCTTGTCAGTGTGTAATGCTGATTATACACAAACACTTCACATCATAAACATAGTACCGTTGAAATGATTGAGGCTTTTTTTAGATTTCTATTCTGATAACAATTGAAATGAAAGTGATGTATTGATTTTCAATGTGTGTATTAACAGCTTTAACTCCGATCTTATTCGACCTGTTTTAACAGTTACAACTTAAGTACAGCTTAATTCATAGTTCTGATCAGGAATGTAAGAAAAAAATAAATAATACATTACATAAAAAATGAAAAACAAACAAACAGAAAAAGCTACAGATAAGCTACTTTCCAAAATAAATTATGCTCTTAATATGAGCAGTTAACATTTTTTTTCCCAAACTACAATGAAAATAATCACAACCAAAGGGGTTATTTTACAAACATCATCAAATAAGTTTCAACAATCCAAAGATCCAAGTCATATATTTTTTTTTTTTTAACTCATGGAATACCATCTCAAATCCACTGGATTTAAATTCAGACTTGCTCTACTGTTGCCAACGGCCGCTCAGGAATTACAGAAAAACATCTTCCAAAAAACACAGTGAACTCTCGCTTTGATAAGTACTTTTTAAAGTTCATCACTTAGATTCATCTTTTAGAAGAATATTTACATACGATAATGTAGCTATAAACACTGTCAACAACACAGGCGAGTGGAACCCTGCCAGCTCCCAACACTGGCAGTATGAGTGGTGTGGAGGTATGTACAGTGGCAATTCCCTGCGTGTGTGCGTGCGTGTGTGTGTGTTTCTGTCCTGAAATGACCTTAAGCCATGCTGAAGTTACAACATTTGAATGTAATGCAAATGACACTTGAATTTAGTTACTGAAAACAAAGCACTTAAAGAGAGAATGTGTGTATTTGTGTGTGTGTGTGTGTGTGTGTGTGTGTGTGTGTCTGATTGTCCTGGTGATTAGGCCCGCAGCAGAGAGCTGAGCAGAAAGGCACATCATACGATGAAATGAAGCAGTTTCAGATTGGGAGAGAGAGGTTCACTCTGTGCTTGGCTCTCTGGTGGAATCACACCTGACTTTTCCCTGCGATGCAACTACAGCGTCCAGTTTCACAGTTTATAAGAACAAGGGCATAGGATGCAAAATAAAGACACCACAGTGATATGCACACGAGTGACGAGGGTCAAAACATTGTCTGTAATAATTTGTTTTAACAAACTCAGCACGATGGAGTTTCCACAGCAGAGGAAGTTATTATCATTACTGGAAGGTTTTACATAATCGAAGGGAAGAATTGGAGAGATATCATCTGTTGGGACAAAGAGGACACATCCTCCAGCAAAATAGTGGCTGATATTAAAGAACTAAAAAGCTCCAAAAGATGATCAAGACCTTCTGTTCAAAACCAGGTCATTTACAAACAGAGTCCTTCAAGCCAATTCTGAAAGATCTGTATTTACCACAATATATAAAAACTCTGATATCTCAGTATACACTGTTTGACCCAGGTCAGCCATGCACACATACACACACTGACTCACACACACGCCTGCTACATAAACAGCTGAGCCCCGGGACGTTGACAGAGACAGTGAAAGCAAATTGATTTTACAAAATATACAGGTAGAAAATTGACGGTCAGTCCGTCAGCTACAGTCTGAACCAGCAGACTGACTGACTGACGGACAGACTGTCATTCAGACAGACTGGCAGAGTCCAGTTTCTGCAGGTAGCATCCTGATCACAGGTAGACAGCAACACCTCCAGCTCCTTCTCCCAGATTCTTTGTTCAAAACGATGCGTTAGTCCTCCAGTCGGGATTGTTCTCTTCACCAGCCACAGTCTGACAGCCAGTGTGACCAAGTCCTGAATGTAAAAAAGTTGCCATGGTAACCGGTGGTTGCAGGCGAGAAAGCTGCCTACGTGAGCCTGTAGAGAGTGCTGAGAGTCTGGGTGACGAAGTTGAAGAGTCCTCGGCAGGCGTCTCTCCAGTCCTGCCAGTGGGGGGCAGCCTGCTGTGAGAGAGAATAACAATGATGTCAATGTTTGATTATTCAACATCTGACCTTTTTTGACATGACAAGATGCTAACAATGTGCATTTATTGACAAAATGACCAAGAAACAGCTCATACAACATAATAGACTAAATCACACTACTTCAACTTCATGCAAGTCACTGCTGTCCCCTGTTGTCCAGGTTGACATGTGGAGCAGCAGCTAAGAAAGACAAAGGTTCCAAAGGTACTGGAGTGGACTTGAATATCCACAAAGATTCTGGAACCAGTAAATATCGAAATGAGTCATGTGACTTTTTCTCAAAGTGTGTCGGATGATAGTTTATGAAGCGGCGTGGTTTCAGATTTGAGGCGTCTGAGCTGCTGCAACATTTCTGAACACGTCAGCTGTGCCAAATGTTTAAGAAATATCATTTGAAAACTAAATACTAACAGCCTGGGTGGAAAGAAAAAGATCCCTTGAAGCTGATTATTCAATATCTCACAAAGGCAGAGAAGTCAGCATTGAAGAAAGCAACATGATGTCATGTTAAGGGAGAGAAATGAACAGAGGGATGAAGTGGAGAGAAAGAGAGACTGTGTGTCTGCATGGGCAACACTCAGCACAGCTCAAACAAGAGGATAAACAAGTGTGTGTCTGTGTTAGGGATGCTACTCTGAACTGCCTGAACCTCACGTGCCTGCGGTTAACCCTCCCTCCCTCCTTCCCTATTTCCTTTCTGTACAGTCTCCATCCCTCCTTCTCTCATTCCTTTTGTTTCAAACTGTTCATTTACAAAAAAGTGTCTGACTGTGCTCTTGGCCCGGCTGGGTTGTAAACAACACACACACGCACAATTTCCCCAATTTCCCCTTGAGAATAAAGTATTTGTCATGCACACACACACACACACACACACACACACACACAGAGCAGACAGACAGGACACAGCTCAGTGAGGGCAGTAACCGCAGAAACCTGCTACACATGTTTGCAAAGGGGTTGTTACACCCTCATAAAGTACATATGTGTGTGTGTGTGTGTTTGTGTGTGTGTGTGTGTGCGCGCGCGCGCGTGTGTGCGTGCAGTCCATGACAGAGTGAGAGCCAAGGGTAGGTGACGTCATCTTTGTTTATGTGCATAAGGCGGGATGGCGAGGGAGAGAGAGCAGTGGAGATGTGTGTGTGTGCATGTGTCCATGTTTGCGTGTGTGTGTGTATGTGTGCGGTGGGGGAGGAGGTGGAGGGGGGGGGGGGGGGGGGGGGGGGGGGGGGGGTTGCTGCCAACTCCTCACGCGATCTAGAGCACAGAGGGAGGGAGGGGAGAGATAAAGAACTGACAATAAAAAGAAGAAAGACAGCAGAGGAAAAACATGCTGTTATTTTATCAGGGTGTTTTAAAACCAAAAGGATTCTCACGAAAGTAAAGTGAGATTTTTTAATGTACAAAAATGACATGACTGCCAATGACAGGCAGAGAGAGAAAGGAGAGGAGGGAGACAGAGAAACTGTTTAGTATGACTGTGATATGGAGAGAGAAAGAGAAGAAAGTGAAACGATAAAATGAGAGACAGAGGAAGGAAAGAGTCAGAGGGAACAGATGAGAGAGACTAACAGGCTCACAACACACAGATGACATTGATTCACTCACACATGCAAGTATTGATCTGTCTTAACTACTGCACGCACGCACGTAATTAAGCATGTATGCAAACTCACATGTTCACCCATGCAAGAACATGCTGGACTGATAAGACAGTTATGTCTGTGTCTGTGCCTGTGTGTGTGTGAGAGAGAGAGAGAGAGAGAGAGACAGAGAATCAATGTGCCTGTGCTGTGTTCAAGGACACTGTAAACATCGTACACACCCACAATAACCACTAAAAACCACTACACAACAACATGTGCGACCACTGCATTGAGACTGAATGTTCAGGTGTTGTATTGGCGTCTCTCCCTTCAGCAGTTTTTAGTTTTTTATCAGCTTGTTGACGGTTTGTGTGACAGTCAACATCTCAGTCACAACTTTTTAAGCCTGGTTTATGCGTCTGCGCAGGATCGACGCAGAGCCTACGCTGTAGCCTGCGGTGGGGTTTCTATGCCACTGTGTGTGGATTTCAAAAAACGGTAACTGAACCTGAACGCATCATGTTGGAGTTGGAGCTACATTACACAACAGTTACTTTTAGTGAAATTACTGCAATGCAGAAAAGAGAGAAAACGTCAGAGGAGATGAGGAAGAAGGAGGCAGAGTTTTCTGTGCTTGTCTGGCCACTGAGAGACATGGACGACTCATGCTACCAACAGTTGTTGCAGTCTGCATTGCCACGATGTGTTGTTACATTTCATCACCAAAAGCTCTGCAAAAAATCATAATCATAAATAATTTTTTTGTTGATTCTTTCTTCTCTATTTTAGGTCGGTCTAAGTGTCCATATTAACTTATGTAAATCAACATTTTGTGGTAACAGTCATGTCTCCCCTCTCCAGAAAGACTTAAACATTTCCAGTTAGCTAACTTAATGGTACTAACAGAACATTTAACCCCACCCCTCCTCTTACCGCTCTGTGGAGGACTCTGGCATTATATTCATCTCCAATGGCCCTCAGCTGACTGGCCACTCTCCTGACCCCCATCTCCTGCACTGCCTCTCTCCTGGGGGCTCTGTGGTGTAGTGAAGCCCAGGATGGGTGCTCGTTCTGGGGCAGCAGGTCAGGCAGAGGCGCCTGTTGGCTGGAAGCCTCCTGGTGCTCCTCTCTGTCTGAGTCTGCGGCAGAAAAGGCAAAATACATTCAGAAAACCAGATACTAACAAATAAATACATACAATGCATTTCTCCTTCTTCCTCGTTTTATTTTTACCGTTCTTCTTCCTCATGCTCTGACTCTGTCTCTCTCTTGAGTAGAAATGTGCAAGTATGAAAAGACAGAAGTGCTTTATTGGATACACAGAGCCTCTGGTTATGCTTAATTGATTCTCAACAAGCAGCGTACATTAATGGCCTCCTTACAAACTAATGTAGACATTTCAAGTCAGGGGGATCTGTGCACACATAGTAACACGCGGGCAGACTGCACAGACCACGCTGCCAAGCAACAAAGACTTATTTAATGAGCAAACACACCAGCATACACCCAAAAACACACAACAACATACACAGACTTCCCACAAACCCTCAGTCGCACTGACTTTCAGGCCGTTACTGCTCATCACCTTCAACATCAACACAACTTTGCAAGGAAATGCTCTATAGAGGGAGATAGCCATAAAAGTTTAAATATCGTTTATGCATATGCATGTTTATTGTCTCTGATGCAGAAAAGAACAGGAACAGGAAAATAAATACATTTTTTTTTACATGCAAAACATGTGCATCAAGTCTCTCAGTCTTGACCTTTGACCTTAAAAAATAGTAACTGTGGTTGCCAGTGGGGTAGCTTAGTTCTCTGACCTAACTCACACACACACACACACACACACACACACACACACACACACACACACACACACACACACACACACACACACACACACACACACATCTCTTAAGGAGGCTGATGGGGTGATGGTGACTTATTTTCCTCTTCATGGAACTTGGGAGAGTAATCTCTTAATCTGCTTAATAAGTCTGGTATGGAGAGGTACTGTATGTGTGTTTGTGTTTGTTGTTTGTGCGGGTGTTTTTTAAACAGACAGATACCTATACCTTCTGTCGGGTCACTTTAGTGTGACAAACAAGGCTAAACCTACTAGAGACATTATGATTTGATGAGATCTGATGTGGCTGCGTTTTATGTTATAGAAAACTATTATCTATTTATGTTTACTTACTTGTTCATTTAGTTATTTTTCTTGCTTATTCTATCTCTCTTCAGTTTTATGCCATGGAATAGTGTAAGCATGTTAATCCCATGAATGATTTAACGACCACAAAAAACCTGAAGTATTGACATTTCACCACTTTTTTCTCTTCCTTCTTCTGTTTCTGCATTTGATCTTTTTTAATGTGACACAAAACAAATTAAAAAGTGCTTCCCATTTGTTTTGTTCCATTCACTTGAGACAGGAAGAGATTCTTTAAATCCTAAAGGATATCACAGTAAGTGTAGGTTTGATACCAGTTCTCTGTGAGATGAGTAGATACCCTATTCTAACCCCGTTCTTCGACACACCTTTGGGTCCCCAGCTTGTTTTGTTACTTTGTCCAATCACAGCTTTTCTGTGAGGCGACCCCTGTTTCCTGCACGGAGATGATTGCCTACGGCAACCACAACTCTAGTTGCCACAGAAACGGGCACCCCTGGCAACCACAGCATTTGCTTTGCTAGGAGGATTACAACTGATCCTTTAAAGATGCAGGTGACTAGACAGAGAGAGAGAGACAGGAAGAGAGAGAGACAGAAAAGAGAGAGCGGCAGCAAAAAAAAAACACAAACGGGAAAACCCTGGCTTGTTGCCAAGGTAACTCTAAGGCAGTACTCCTGGAGACGTCTCAGCGTGATTGGCCGATAGAGCGGGGGGCCGAGCTGTGATAGGGTGGACCGGAAGAAAGGGGGTGGGGCAGGGGATGAACCTGCCTGTGACAGAATGACAAGGTGACAGAGAGACCCCCTGACCAGTTGAATATGGGAGCCAGGAGAGACTGGAGGGTGGTTTGGTTGTTGGGTGGGGGCCGGCATTAAAAAAAACAGACTAAATTAGATAAAAGAATAAATTAGAATAAATAAATTAGATAGAGGCAGAGGGCTCAATGATGAGCTGGATAACTCCCTGACATTTTAACAGCACAACTAACAAACTGACTGATAAAACAACTAACTGACAAATTAACCAACATGCTGAAATTGAAACCAGCTAACTGCCTAACTAACAAACTAACTGACTGTTGAACAACCCGACATGATGCAGGTTTACATGTTATCTTCACTAAGCGATAACACTGATTATTTATATTGACTTATTCAGTGATGACTGAATGACTGGCTGACTGATTAATAAAGCAACTGATTAATTAGTCAATCTGGTTTGTGTCTGGTTTATTGACTAACTCGCTGATTGAGCAGGAGATTAACAGAATAATTAACAAACTAACTCCATGGTTAACTGACTGTGTGATTAGTAGACTGACTCATAAGCCTGATTAACTAAATCACTTTTCTGACTCTTCAACTAACAAACTTAACGGCCTGACTAAATAAATGGCTTACAAATGAGCTCCCTGAGAAATCTGCAGTCTGACTGAGTGGCCTCAGAGACCGCTGGTGACAGACTAAGGATAACTGACTGACCGACTGACTGGGTCCTCATGGTGGAGAGGTCGTGTGGCTCTGGTCCTATCTGTTGGCGGCACCTGGATGTTGCTGGATGTCCTCTCAGATCATATTCTTCATTAATGTTTCAAATCTATTGTGCTGTCATCCTGATTGTCCATGCTGTAAATCTATGTTGTTCTATTCTGTACACACAGCATCTATTGCATGTCTGTCCGTCCTGGTACAGGGATCCCTCCTCTGTTGCTCGTCCTTGGTTTAAGCTTGATTACAGATTGTTTAGCCCCTTGAGGAAAATTTGTGATACCGGGCTAAATAAATTATATTTGACTTGACTTGACTTTTTGCTGCCTGGCTTAGCCGCTCAGAGCAGGAGGAAATGCTGCACAGTGTTTCTTTCTTGCAGCCAGAGCACAGAGGACAAGTCTGAACATGCCTGAGATGAACAGCTGACCTACAGCTGAGAGGGGAGGAGGAGGAGTTGAAGGAGGAGGAGGTGGAGAGGGAGGGTTTATCTGTTTACATTATTACAAATCTGTCACAACACAGTGGCTCAATGCCAAATGTTAACCCGCCTTTCCTGTAACCTGCTGGGCCACTGATGCCTCCTGAATTTCCCTTTCTACAGCTTCAAAAAAAAAAAAAAAAAAAAAAAGGTTTAGATTTATTCTACTTGATCCATCACAAGAGAATAAAATGTGTCTCCCTCTTAACTCAAAGCTCTCCTGTTTGACTAAACACAAGAGCCGAGGCAAGTCATAAATCAGCAACTCATAGACATTTTATGGTGCTACACAGAGTGACAGCAGTAGGACAAACTTCTATTCCCAAATACTACTATTACCCAAATAGGTAGCAGCTAAGTTAATTTTTTTAAATTAAAGTTTAATTTTTGACAATGCACAACCAGGAGATTTCCCTTTCTATTAAGTCCTCATTTGAGCCAAATCAAAGAAGCATTTTTGTCCATCACTGCCAATGTAACCTCCCTCTGCTCGCCTCATTAAGTCAAGACAGACACACATCATACATTGTCTGGTGAACAAAACCGTGTTGATTAGTTTTAATGTCTGACTTCTGTGTAGCTTCATGACACAGCGGCCCGCTGGTACAAGGCCAATCTACAAAAGACAAGTCACATGTTTATCCCTGTAACAGCTGTAACACGTCCCCTCACACTGTACTCCCCCTCCACCTGTCCCCCATCAACACTGCCCAAACAGTCTCCTATCATAGAAACACAGCCCTGGGTGCAGTGCACACATAACCAACACTCTCCTCCTGACCTTGATGTTGACTGGGTGGAGGTCTGAAAGGCAAACTGTGCTGTGTGGCTGAGTTTTCATTCATTTACAACAGAAACCTGCATCCACTGCTGCTGTAATCTATCAGTGCAGCGTGTTCCTGCAGCAGTGAACCTGGCGGCACTGGCCATAAATCAATGCTGGCTCTATTGCTGCTCGTTCTGGCAGGCTAAATGATTACTAATGTGCTCTGACACAGATCGCACTGGTCTTGGTGTTACATTGTTCCCTGCCCCTGTCTGTTAAAACAAGGGGAGAACTAACCAATATAGTTTTAATGACACTATGCTACAACTCACTTGTAACTGGTATTAATGTGAGATTTTTATCCTCTACTCTCAGTCCCACCTGTAGGTGATAAAATCATAACCCAGTCAGCACTGTTTCATGCTAATTATAAGTGAATTCCACTATCTTACCTGACTCCTCTCCTGAGAAGGCACTTGGTGTTGCTGCGCCTCCACCCCTCTCTTCCCTCCAGCGGCAGAGTGGCGAAGGAGGGGGCATTGGTGATGGCAATAACGCAGGTGACTGCTGGTGAGTTTGGGTCTCGTCAGGCAGCGGATATGGCAGATAGAGAGGCTGCAGAGGGTGCACATGATGGTGGTGGTGGGGGTGTATGGCACCAGAGCCAGTGGTCATGGTGGTAGTGGTGAGCAGGCTGGGCCAGGTGTGGAAGGGGCGAGGCAGCTCCATGCGGCAAGTATTCTGGGGAGGAAGAGGGCCGTTTCCTCCTCCCCCAGTTTCCCTGACGCTCTCGATGGTCTCTGCACGGGCCATCTCAGTAGTTGCCTAAATCACACATGGAAAACTTTCAAGTACATTTATAAAAACACACCCATAGACAGAAGGTACTGCTGCATCAGAGCACACATTATACACATGTATAGAGCTGAAATGATTAGTCGATTTGTCAATTGACAGAAAATTGACTGGCAACTATTTTTAATCAATTAATTGTTTCAGTCATTTGCAAGAAAAAATAGAGAAAAAATACTTGCACATGATTTGCTATTTTTCTGTTTGAGGTCAAACAAAACAAGAAATCTGAAGACCTCACCTTCAGCTCAGCAAAATTCATTGACCATTCTTTGATGTTTCACAGACTAAAGGAATTATTGAAAAAATAATTGTATCGTACATGAATTTGAATTCAAATGAACACAAAAAACATACTACAAAAACTAAATAATAATCATAATCATAACTATTATTGTAGTTATAATAACACAACTACTAAAAATGAAAAACATCAGAGAACAAATTGTACGTTTTCTGGACAAAAAGTCCAAACACTTGGCTGGGAGAAAATGTGTGAAAAGACCAAGCATTTACCTGTACATTTTACTGTACATTTACTGTAAATTTACTGTACATTTCCCCGTACATTTACTGTACATTTTACTGTACATTTACTATACATTTTACTGCACATTCACTGTACATTTTACTGTACACAATACAGGTCTAATTTTAGCTCCACTGTTTTTTTCTCTTCCCTCCGCTTTACAAAAAGTTTGACCTACCAACCTATATCCTCCTGCTGACCGGTAGGGGGCAGCGGCTGGTCCGCTTCATCATGACCACGAGACTTATGTTTGTAAACAAATCCGTGCCACCCGAGCACGAGGAACCGTGCACGCACACATACGCGGACACACACACACACACACACACACACACACACACACACACACACACGAGTGCAGGGGACCGTGCGCAGCGGCGAGTCACGCGAGCATTACAGGGTAATAGGAAGGAAAGTACCGACGTTCAGCCGTTCAATTAGCAGAAAACGGTGTGGACAACCCCGCGATTAAAGTGTAGCTAATGTAGTTTTTAAAAACTTAAGGAGTTTCAACCCCCCCCACCCTCCCCCCCAAAGAGCCAGGACAAAAAAAATGAAATTTAAACAATTAAAACGTTATTTTTTTCACACTCCGCGGTGTTAACCACGAGGGTTGACCGTCCTCCGGTCCGCGGACACACACTACTGCGAAACATCTCCGTTTGTCGTGTTAGCAAGATTTTCAGTATGTCCGTTGTGTATCAACAGGATGCTGTTTCGTTATGTTTTTTTGTTTTTTTTTTCAACCAGGCAGCATGTTAACTTTTGTGTATCTGACGTGTCGGGACCTGACACACACACATGAAACAAACAACGCGAAAGGGTCGAAGGAAGATCAGCTCACTGACCATTAAGAAGTGGTCCATTTAATGTTACGTGTAATACTGTAAATCTGAAAGTTAGTCAATGTTAAAGTAAGCAAATCGTTTAAAAGAAGCAGCAATAACTATTAATTCATCCAAAGTTTAAACCGCAGCTTTTCCTGACAGCTGGACAGATGATGCAACTCTGCGCTGTCAGATTCACCAGCAGCTAATGCAGCAGTAAAATTCACTTACTGGGTCTATGTGACGATCCGTGGTGAGGCTGTGTGCAGGTCAGAAAGCGGCGGTGACAGGTGGACATCAGAGAGAGTAAAATGTGCAAGAAACAAGCAGGTGAAGCGACAGGTGAAAGAGCATGGGATGTTCAAGTCCAGGCAGGGGGAAATGTGTCACTCCATTTCAAGTTTCCCGTTTCGGATTGTCTCGATGAATGTTGTCTGTTGTTTCTGTCTCAGATTAACCCATCAAAACTTAAATATCGACGCCCACTACATGGACCGAATAGCGGAGCGGGTTCGTGCCTCTGTTGCACGTACTTTCAGGTCTGAGCTCAGCTTCAGTTTCCTCTGCTTTTAGAGGATCTTTGTGAAGACAGAGGATTGGAGTCAACATCCGGTGGGAGTTTTCAAAATAAAATGTACTCGAAAAATATTCCTCAGAAAAATGTCTTCGTTTGGTATTATTAATTTTTTTACGTTGTACAGATGTGCTGAGGTTTTAAACATCTTAAAAAAAGAAATAATTGTGGTAAAAAAAAAATAACATATGGGCATAAACATGCATAACCAATGATGTGAATGCTCCAACATGAAGACATGAGCACTACTACTGGGCACATACCCTCTGTATGAAGTGGCTGTTAATATTTCACGTTTGAGAGTCACAGAGCTCAATTAAAAACACACAAAATTACCACATATAAATGCAAATCTATTCCAGAGAGCACCAAAACAACCAAAAGAAGACTCAATATGTCAGAGATATAAAAATGTGCCTATCATGTTGTTAGTTTTACATGAGACTATATGTACATATGTGTTTTGATGTGTTTAAATCTATTTAAAAAACAAAAAATATGCACTCCATAAAAAGTTCAAACTCAAACATTCACATTTTGTCCTATTATACATGCATATTAAGTTACTTATCAACTCACCACATACCAGATTATTATTTATTTACCGTGCACCAGTGTACAGTGTGTTTTCATCACCAGTTTAATTCTCCATTTTATATTTTGATTCTGCACTCCTGCAATGATGCCTTTTTCTCCAACTCCAGTAAAGACTTTTATTTTGACGGCTGAATCACAGTGTTGTCAAAGTAGTTTGACTTCCTTCACACGACTCCTCATCTACAACAAGTGCTGACATGCTCCCTAACAGGATGCTGCTGTATCAATTTCCCTCAACACCCCACCCCCCACCAACCCACCGCCGCTCTATTTTTCTTTCTTTCTTTTTCTTTCTCTGTATTTTTATTGTTATCAAATTTGAGACTTTCTGCAGGATTACCAAAAAAAACCCCCAAAACATTTCTTATGTTAATCTCCCTCTTGTTGTATGTCTATTTGCTTGTCTGTCTCTGCCCATACTCTCAGTCCAGCAAACTTTACTGTCATCAAAAAGTCCCTCCAAAGGATTAACAATTTAATGTCTCTCATATCCTGTATTTTCCCTTCCTCACCTCTTTAACTCTCTGTATCTCTCATCTCAAGACTCGACACATTTCCTCACCAACCTCACACAGGAATCAACAAAACATCCCCTCATCTACACACAAACACACCCCTCCTCTCCCCCGTCCCCCAGGCGGCCTCCCCCAATTTCCTTCTCAGTTTGACACATCTGCAGCAGCTGTAAACCGACACAATGAAATCCTGTGTAGAGTGAAGCTGAGTCGACATTTAGTGGCGCTGTTTATAACACATTCATTGCAAGTACAGGGACATTCTCCCTCTGCTGACAGCTGTCATTTAGTTCTACATATGATTCATGTAAAGAAAAATAAAGCTCTTTTTCTTGTTAGTGTGAACGTGCTAATTTTAATGGTCTCAAAGAAGGCAAGCAGTAACAGCAGTGAGACTTGTGCAAACAGCTACTCAGTATTTACACTTGACTAGCTGTGATTTTAGTCCACATGGTCTGCATGTTACATTAAAATTTACCTCGTGTCCTAAAGATATGATCATATTCTGTGATTTGCACAGTTTCTAAAGTAAGTAGTCTGTTAAATATAGGTCAGACACAAGCTTCTTGGACATGCATGAAGACTGTACATTTTAAGGACAGAAAAGAAATGCAGAGAATTTCGAGTGTATACATTTGTTGTAGCTGCACAGATGTTCTGGTGCGATGTGACTGCATTTATTATTTGAACCAAAAAATAAAACAATTTTAATGAGAAGACTGCTCCTATCTTTTGTCTATTTGACGTCAAATTTGCAGTGAAGCCATACAACATTTTCTGTCCTCACCTGTAAATTGACATATCGCTCCACCTGCACTTTAAAATAAAATAATTTGGCAAATTTTCATCGCTGGTATGATTTTGTTACTCAGTCAACCTTGTGTCTTATCATGTATCATACAGTCACTGTGGATTGATTCAAAATGAATGGCAATGAAGATCTACTTCCACCGACAGAAACAGGTCTGGATGTGTGTTTACTAGTTTCCTCTGAGGGAACTGTGATGCATATGCATGCAGAGTTTTTTGAAATACATACTGACTTTCTGCATTTAAGCTTCAGTGGTAATCCTTTTGAGGGCGTTTGGGATAGATTTCCTAAACTCAAACATGGCAAATTATAATCCAGGATTAGTGAATGTTTTGTTAACACTCAAATCCATTTATGACAAATCGTTTAATTCCAATATGCAGTCAGCCATTAAACACATCTGGACTGTGACTGGCACATATGGCTACTTGCACACATAATGAATAGTCTGCAGGCACAGTAATTACTGCAGAATATATCTGTACTTAAATGTGTTTCCTTGTACTTGTCTATTTTGTAATCTCACTTTGACACTTCACAGCTTGATGTTGAGGCTGAAGGCTGCAACACTCTCATGAGCCACCCAGGAATATTACAATGATTTTTCATGAGGGAAACCTGCACTAAAGCTACACATCTCAACAGCAGTCTAATTGTTCAAGCTTTTACACCCTATAGTCTGAAAACCCTGCATAACATTAGCATCCCAAATGACTTCAGACACCCCTGCTGTGTCAACCCCTGACCCTTGGATCATTGTGTTTTGGGAAAACCCCTAAGCTGCAGGGCATGAGACAGGGACGTCACAGCCGGGCTGCAGGGTCGGAGGCTGTTTAATTGGCTGGAAATGGCACCTTGTCTCAATACCCCCCTCCACATCCTCCACCTCCTCCAGCAGCAGATTGGTACACACCCCCTTGTTTGGGTAGGACGGGGGCGTAGGGGTGCATAGGGGGGCGGGGTCCCCTCTCTGGTACATGTCCGGGCGAACATCCTCTGCCAGGTTTGAGACAGACAAACAGACTTTGGATGACATGTGGTCAGCAGTTAGCTTGTAGAGACTAGATAATGAATGCTAATGAGAGTCAAGACTGTTGCCATCAAAAATCCTGTTAGGGTGCTTTTGTTATAGTATTGCAGTTGTTCTATTTTATGAATTGTATGAAAACCCTGAATTACTTTAAAATGAATAAGCTGTCGTGAGTTTGTCAAAAGATTTTTCCATAAATTTAATTTGAAAATAAATCACTGTGACTTTTAGCTTATAGGTATGTATATCTGATAAATAATTTCTTCTATGCCACTGTGTAATATCATTCTTAAAATCTTCTTTTTCTTCATCAGCTTTTTATCATCATCTTCATCTGTCTTCTTTTCAGTAGCATTAAATCATTTGGGGAGTTAACAGTTTAACCTTCTGCTCTATTACAGTATGTTCAGTCTGCAGTTTGGATGCTGTGTCTAATTCTTGAACAGTTTAATTATCCCACATGAAAGTGAAGGCTGGTCCATGCTTCTCCATCCGCACATGCACAGGTGCACTGCAGTTTTTTTTAATAATGTTTTTGTTTTTATACTGAAACAGCCAACTTGTGGCTGGATTAACTAACTTTTTCAGACCAGCAACTTTTTTTTCAGAAAAGCATCCAGCAACAAACGTGGTGACTTTCTGAACAAACTGAAGCTGCTTTCTGAAGAAGAGAGTCGCTGGTATCGTCCCATGAGCATGAGATTGGGCTTTAAGTATGAGAGAAGCAAACAGATAAAGGACTAAACCAGCTGACACTAGGCAGACTGCTAAGACTACGTGATGACATCATAAATATGCTTATTAGCATATTACGTCATCTAATAACATTTAGAAACTTTTTGAAAGTAGTTGTTTACAGCAGTTCCACAACAGTTTTCAACTACATCCTCATTTTCACACACTGACCATACACAGCCCAGTAGGTTTTGACCTAGTCTTGGTTCAAGTCTGTCTTAAAACTATGGTCAGGTGCTCATGTGATTACCTGGACTGGCTTTCTCCACAGAACAACAATGACCTCCCCATTTCTTGTTCGTACCTGTTATACAGAACAGGGAGAGGGAATAAAGTTGCAACGTTCTTGCATCGAAGAGACTGTGTAAAAAGAGCTTTATCCACTCAATCTAGTATCTTCCAAAGATACAGTCTCTTTACTGTGAAATTCCCTCTTTGTGTCACTATAAAATGGCAAAGGGACGCTGTCCAGTGAAACAAAAAGAGGAATTTTTGTACAGAAAAGGTAGATGTCCACTTGATTTGTCAACCAAGCCTCATATTAACTTCAAATAAACTTTGGAATACAGATACAGAATGTCCAGAATGAGAACTGTGGATTTTTTCACCTATCAATTACATTGAATTTGTATTAGAAGAGGTCTTATAAAGTCTAAGTGTACATATGGCCATACAGCTATTGTTGGACATAACCTTTAAAAACGTTCATGTAAATTTTCTGATCAAGAAGCTGTTTTGATTCTGATTGTCTTCATTTATGTGACTCCTGAAGAACAAGTGCAGACGAAAGGGTCAGTCAGTTGTCAGCAGAAGTCTCTCAGCCACAACACTCTGAGCATCCAAAACACCCTCCGATGCCAATTCATGACTGATGCCACCTGTGATGAAGTCACCTGCCAAGTTTTTGGTTCCAATCTGCATCACCAACATTGTTTTCTGTCCTGCAGTGTGTGTGTGTGTGTGTGTGTGTGTGTAGGTGTGTGCGTGTCTGTGTGTGTGTGTGTGTCTATCTGTGTGTGTCTGTCTGTCTGTGTGTGTGTCTGTCCGTGTGTGTGTATGTGTGTGCACGTGCGTGTGTGTGTCTGTCTGTGTGTGTCTGTCTGTCTGTGTGTGTGTCTGTCCGTGTGTGTGTATGTGTGTGCGCGTGCGTGTGTGTGTCTGTCTGCGTGCGTGCGTGTGTGTACAGACACTGTAACCTGAGTACAGCCCTGCAATAGAGAAGACATGACGGCACCAGATAAGGTGTACAC